GCCCGGCCCGCCGCCCGACGACGTCCCTCCGCCGCCGCCGCCGCCTGCCGACGACGACCCGCCGCCGCCGCCGCCGCCGTCCGACGACGCGCCGCCCCCCCCTCCGGGCGGTCCCCCGCCGGGACCTCCGCCCGGCATGCCGCCGCCGGGCATGCCTCCGCCCCCCTTCCCGATGCCGGGCTTCCCGCCCCCGCACATGATGGGGATGCGGCCGGGCATGATGCCGCCGGGCATGATGCCGCCGGGGGTGCGCCGCACGCACACGCCGCCGCCTTCTCCGCCCACCCACCCCCAACTCCGCGCTCTCACCTCCTCGCCGCCCCACGCCTCGCCGCCCCGCCTCCCCACGCCTCGCCGCCCCGCCTCCCTCTCTGCGCGCCGCTCGCGATACTCGCAGCCGCGCCGCACCTCACTCCCCTCACTCCCCCCCCCTCTCGCGCCTGAACGCAGATGCCGCCACCCGGGATGCCCGGCATGCCGCCGCCGGGCATGCCGCCCCCCTTCCCGATGCCGGGCTTCCCGCCCCCGCGACCGCCCGCAGGGATGATGCCGCCGCCCGGCGCGCCACCCCCAGGCGCCCCGCCGCCGCCCGGCGCTCCTCCACCGCCTCCGCCGGCGTAGCGAGGCGACCCGTCTCACGACTGGCAACGGTCTCGCGCCTGCGGGCACGCAAGGCAAGGTGTGGGCGACGGCGCGCGGCTTGCGGGTGGGGCGATCGTCGCAGCTCGTGCGGCCGCGCTCCAGCTCTGCTGACGACATAGAGACTCGCTGCATGCCTCTTCTGGTTCTGGTTTACTCGTCCCCAGTGAGCAGTGTCCCGTCCCCTCTCGCTACACGGTGCACAGCAATGTGAGCGTCTCCTCACTGCACGCACAGACGCGGACGCGCTCGCCTCCCTAGCCATACCTTTTCTTGTATTACGTGGCTGGGTTCACAGCGATTGTAGGGAGTGTTTCGGGAACACTTGTGACCTGACGGGTCGGGCCTTCCGACTCGCGCCTCCGCCTCACTGGCACTATTGTAGCCCTGGCCGGTGCGCGTGCAGAGTTGAAGTTCCGGAGTGAAAATTCCAACGCGTTCTCTCACGGTGACCAAAAAATGTCCACCTCAGAGGCACCTCCGGAGGCAGGCCGCCGCACGCCGGCGACACAGCTCCAGCTGTCGAGCTGACCCGCAGCTCCTCTCAGAGCGGGAACTGTGACAAAAGTTGACTGAGGCGGTTGTCAGGAATCATCATACGGATCACATGGTGGCTCTCTCATGACGGGAGACCGCCCGACCACTCCTGGGTGGCACTGCCACCGGTGTCGCTCGACGTCCTGTCGACAGCGTGCCGACAGCGACACAGACCATGTGGGACGCGTCGAGTATCGACCTCTACTGCTTACCCAGCCTTCGAGTGTATCCTGGCTGTGGTCCCACACCCACTGGTGTCCATCTCAGAGACCGCAGGAGGTCATGAGGGTCGATGGGAGTGCCAACCACACAATGCCTGATGATGATCTTCTTTTGGTCTGTTTTAGTGCCAGATCACAGTGTTCAGTGCGCGTCAGTGGTCCCCCGTGAAAGAAAGAAAGAAATACAGACAACCCAAGGGAGGGATGGGAGGACGGTACGCCGCCACCACACAGGGATTTTAAGAAGAGGAGTGTGGTGCTAGCCGTCGCCCGCACCCTCGGGGGCGTCTACCTCTACCTCTTCCTATCTCTCTTCGTAGACGTAGTTTCTCGCTAATTCTCGCATCTCGCAGCGTCCAGCGACCTTCATGCCACCTCGCGTTCTGCGCAAGTTGCGGATACACCCTGGTCCCCCAGGTGTGAACGTCACGTGTGAACAGTCTCAGTAGTCACTGACACTGTGAGTCTCCCGTGACAGCCGTAGAGCGTAGTGTCTGTGAATAGTGTGGGGAGCGAGTAGATAGCCGAACGGGGGGTTTCCCCGACCTCCCCGAGGTCGGCCTGCGACCTCCGAGAGGTCTTGCGCCGCTGCACCCGCCGGGTTTTGCGAGCCCGGAAACGCTGAAAAGTAGGCTAGGAAGCGGGTGTTTTGTGTGGCTTGAGTAACAATCAAAGTTCTAATACCGCCCGGAGTGTGCTGTCACTCCGTAGAACGAACTAAGTAAACCTCACCGAGGTCGCCACTCAACCTCCCGGAGGTCATGGCAGAGGGCAGAGCGTCGGGCGCCATGCGCCCGCTCGCCAGGGCCCGGCCCGGGGAGTGGCAGTCGCCTTCATGCGACCTGCGTCAAAGGCTGCAGAGCGCCGATTCACGGGCCCAAGGCGGTGGTTCATGCCTCGGCGCTCGGGTCCGGCGGCAGTTCACGCCCTGCACAAGGTAAACTCCCAGTTCCGCAGGCGTTCTTCCCACTCTCGTCGTTCTCTCTCCTGCTGATTCATCTTCTAATAACTCGTTGCTCTCCTTCGTTCTGAGAGGCCGGTCCAATGCGAAAATTCTTTTTCGTGTGGACATGATTGCCTTCCTGCTTCCGATCGCGTCCGCCTTCGCGCCCGTGCTCAAGGTGCAGCCGCAGGACCCGCGCCATTCTTGGGTAAATCGACGGACCCGAGAAATTTCCAGCGCGGAGGTCAACGTCGGGCTTGTCCGCCAGCTCACACTCAATCAGCTACTCATCGGATGGACGATATGGAGCGGCGGCGAGGGCGCAGCCGTGCTGGCGCGCGACGCTCACTTTGATTCGCTGCTCGCGCTGCCGCTTGGCGTGCTCGGCGTGCTGCCTCTCATCTTCATCTCGCGCAAGATCGAGAGGTCCGAGTCGGGAGTGGTCGCAGACCTGAATCTGTCGACCAACCTGCTCGTCCTGCGCCTCTTTGGGTCGGAGAAGCAGCCCGTCCTTGCGCTCGCCGCCTCGCTCTTCCTGGCCTGCCTCACGGGACTTGTCGAGGAGACGACCTTCCGCGGCGAGATCCTGCCGTCGCTCGCACAGGGTAATGGCCTCGCAGGTGGCGTGTCGCTCAGCACGGCCCTCTTCGCGGCGCTCCACGTCAACCCAAAGGCGCCGCTCGAGGGCAGCGCCCCTTCTCGGAGGCTTCCTCGGAATCTTGCCCCGAGCCTTGCTGCAGGCGCTGCTCGAGGGCGGGCAGAGCACCGCGGACGCTCTGGTCACCTTTGCGCTTCAGCTGTGCACTGGCGCCGCCCTCTGCGCTGCCGCGCCTCCTCGGCGGCAAGCGGGCACCGCCGGAGCCTTCCCACAGGCGCCACCTTTGCGCTGCTGTACGTGATGAGCGGCAACCTGGCCGTGCCGATCCTAGCGCACAGCCTGTACGACTGCTACACGTTTTACGGCACGCACTTGGAGGTTTGCAAGCCTAGACTAGCACACTATCTAGATACAGCTTGAGTGCACCTTCCTCGGGCCCTCCTCGAGCGTCCCTGAGCCGCCCTGCGCGCACCTGTAAGGTGGCCGGCCAGATGGAGTATGCCAAGGCGCAGGCGCTGATGCCATCCCTGCCTGGCTCGAGCGGCGCCGCCTGGAGGCAGCGGCGGGGCGAGGCGTTCCTGCAGTCGGCGGCGGAGTCGTTCTACCTCATGGACACGAACCGCGACGGCACAGCGCTCCCGCCCTCCCTGCCGCCTCTCCCCCCCTCTCCCTGCTGCCTCCCCACCCCGCCCCTGCTTGCACAGGCGTCGTCTCGCGCAAGGAGCTGCGGATCGCGCTCTACTCGTACGGCGTCCGGCTGTCGGGCGGAGAGAGCGCCGCGGTGCTCCGCGCGGCCGACGCGGACGAGAGCGGTGGCGTCGACTTTTCGGAGTTTCTCGAGTTTGTTGGACCATCGGGGGATGCCGCCGCCGCGATCAAGCGGGCGCTCTTGGGCGTACGGTGACGCGCTGAGCGGCAGGGGCACAGGGCTGCGGTCTCGTAGGGGGGGGTCGGAGGATCAGGTCTCATGCGCCGCTTACACGTGAGCCGTGCGGAGAGTATCGAGAGGGCGTTAGATGCATTTTGATTTTTGTTGTTGTACGGTTCTCCTCTAACTCTATAAAATACCTCACGTAGTGAGAGACGCCGTCGCTCAACCCGTCATGCGGCAGGTGGCTTGCTTTGGCTCGCTGCCACCGCGGTGGCTCACCAAGGACTTTTCAGCGTGCTGCGTCATCACCGCGCGGCGCGCAAGCCACGCCTCACCCGGGCGAAAAGAATGACCGCGCGCCGCCGCCGCCCGCCTCACCGCGCCGCGCCGCCCCGCGCCTCGCCTCGCCTCGCCTTGCAGCAGCGCACGCGCACACGCACCCACGCGCCCGCGCTCGCTCCGCGAGAGCGAAGCAACCCTCCAAGCGAGTTCCGAACCGGGAGCTAAAAGGTCCCGGCTCGAACCGCGAACCGGTTCGACCACCGCCGCTGGCGGTTCTTGCAAAGGCATCAAAGGCAGTGCTTGATATAACGTGAAATAGTGCGAGCGCGCGAGATACTCACCCGACCCACCGTGCCCTCGCGAAAGAGATCTCGCGCCGCGCGCGCTCGCACACGCCGCCCGAGAGCACTCCCACCCCCGCCGCCTCGCAAGCTCACAGGTTGATTTGAGGAGAAGCAGCTGGGGGAGGTCAAAGCGGGAGAAGGCGGCACGGCGGCGGCGGCGCGGCCCCCCCCCATCCCCACGCCTCCGGGTCGTGCGTACCGCCTCCGGGCGCGAGTGTCCCCCCAGCGTCTGCTCCGGCAGTCGCTCCGGTAATCAGGCCGAGAGTACCAGGGAGGAGGGGAGAAGAGCCCAGGGTGGGGAGAGGAGAAGAGCCCAGGGAGGGGGGAGGAGAAGAGCCCAAGACGGCCTCCCTCTCCCTCCCCTCCCACCGGGCCTCCCTCTCCCTCTCCTCCCACCGGGCCTCCCTCTCCCCCTCCTCCCGCCAAGCACCGACAGTCTCGAGGGGCCAGCCGCTGGAAGGGGCAAGCCAGCGGCACGAGGGCTTCAACCACACAGCTACCAAGGGAACGCGACCCACACAAAGCACCAAAGTTAGGCATACCCCCCGGCGCAGTGTCCCCCGCTATGTGTCGCCGTTTGTCGGGGCACGCTATCCTGTGTAGTCAGGGCAAGTGGGGGCGGGGCGGAGTGCCCAGGAGCGTGCTCCTGGGATTTCTCTTCCCAGTCCGGGGGTGCGTCGAACCTTCCAAGTCGCAGTCGTGCGACGTAGCGGGGGGCCACGACTACGTTTACGAAAACATAAGTAGTCCCGCGAGGTGTGAATTGGCCGCCCCAGTAGCCCCCTTTCCAGCGGAGTTGGTTTTTCGGCGCGTCCCCAGAGCGTCCAAACTTGTTTGGGCGCCAACCGTATCTCGCAACGAATCTCGCCGGCCTCACCGGCTTTCGTCGCCCATGCTCGGTCTCGACTTGAGTGCCGCTCGACTGGCCGATGAAGAGCGACCCGTACGACGCGCACTTGTCGCCCTCCCTCCTCGCCACATGACGGCCGCCCACCGACACCGACAGTCGCGCTCCGCACGCCTTCGAGGTCAGCTGCGGCCGAGCGACGACCGGCTCGTCTTCTCCGATCGCTGGGCGCGGTCACTCTCCGGCCCATCACCCGCCTGCCGATCACCTGTCCGCCTCGCCGCGCGCGGGCCGCTCGCCTGCTCGCCACCGCCGCCGCGTTTCCCCGCGCCGCCACGCTTCCCTGTGCACCTGACCGCGCTCGAGCCGCCGCGTTTCCCCGCGCCGCCACGCTTCCCTGTGCACCTGACCGCGCTCGAGCTGCGCACAGACGGCGCGCTCTGGCAGACAGAGCAGCGGCCGCCTAGGTGGTCGCTGCTCCGCCCCGTCCGAATCCGTCCGCCCGCGCGTGCCGCTGCCGCCGCCGCCGCCACCACCGCGCCGCGCTTCCCCGCGCCGCCACGCTTCGCTGCACCTGACCGCGCTCGAGCTGCGCAGGCAGACGGCGCGCTCTGGCAGACAGAGCAGCGGCCGCCTGGGCGGCTGCTGCTCCGCCCCGTCCGAATCCGTCCGCCCGCGCGTGCTGCTGCCGCCGCCGCCGCCGCTCCACCCGGTTGCCGTGTGTCGTGAGAGTTTGCTTTGTGCATGTGTATGTCGTAATGTGTGTGGACTTATGTCACACTTGAGCCTCTATGTATGATTAGTAGACCGGTACTCGGGTTTGGATGGTAGCGGGGGGCCCCGCCGGAGGCTGGTTACTGATAAGCCATTCGGCACGTACCTCGTACGGATATCGGATACTTTGTGTATATACCTGACTTGCCCCTGTTAGCGTGAGCCCTGTCAGCCCGCCCTGTCATCATCCCCTCAGGCTCAGCAACAAACAGGCAACCTCTGGTATCGACCCTACCCAGTGATCAAGTTCTCAAGGTACACCAAAAAGAGACCAAAGCAAAAAGAGAATTTTTCAAAAAGAGAAATCCGCGGAAATCACCGGAGGCTGCGAGGAGCAAAGCTCTCGGAGATGAAGTTCCTGTTCGCCACGCTCGCCCTGTGCGCGCTCTCGGCGCGGGCCGAGACGCTTACCGATGCCCCGCGGCTGCGTCCCGCGCTGCTCAAGTCGCGGCAGGCCGTTGGAACGCCTGCGATCGCCACTGCGGAGGGCCGCCAGCCGCAGCCGCCAGCTACGCGGGAGCTGCGTGGCGGCAGCGGGATGAACGTCCCGCGCGAGCTGCAGCTTGTGATCGGCGCCGCGGGCATCTTCTTCTCCTTCTCCATCTTTGCCGTGCTTCAGGCCTGCCGCCTCGCGGCCTTTTCTGCAGCCACGCACACGTCGCTCTCACCCCGCCAGGCGCGTGCGCTTGGCAGGAGGACGTGTACAAGAAGGCGTACGGCGGCGAGTACTTTGCCTTTACGTTCCTCGCGCTGGTGATCGAGCGTGGCGTCAACGCGCTCACCGCCTACCTCGGCAACCTCGCCCTCGGCCCATCGGGGCAGACGGCCGTAGAGATGCCAGACCCGGTACCTCTGCACTGCAAGAGACGGCCTCGCCGCCTGAGGACGCGTGCCCGGCTGGACGGCTCCCATCCGCGCTGCCCTCTCGACCACACGTGTGGCCCCGTCGAGACGGCCGCTGTCCGAAGCACGCCCTCTCACCGCACTCTCCCGCTCCCTTGCCTCTGCGGCGGGCAGGCCGAACATTCCGCACGAGGAGATGGCCCGAGATGAGCCGAGATGAGCCGGGATGAGACGAGATGCTGGGACACGCCGCCCGGGATGCTGTTCGCAGGCACAACATCCCGCACAAGGAGATCTTCAACTCGGGCATCTCGCAGATGCTCGCGATGGCCGCCTCGAACGAGGCGCTGCGGTACGTCTCCTTTCCGACGCAGGTGCTGGGCAAGTCGTGCAAGATGGTGCCGGTGATGGCGGGCGGCATCGTCCTGGGCGGGAAGCGGTACTCCTTCGCAGAGTACCTGCAGGCGCCGCCCACCGCGGGCCCCGCGCGAGGCTACGCCCCGCCTCTGACTCTGATCCGCCCCTCTGCAGGTTGCGCTCATCACGCTCGGCGTCTCGGTCTTCAACTTTGGAGGCAAGAAGAAGAAGGTGGGCAAGCCCGACCAGCCGTTCGGTGAGGGACACGGCCGAGAGACGCTCCCTACACGCTCCCTACACGCTCCCTACACGCTCCCTACACGCTCCCTACACGCTCCCGGCACGCTCCCTACACGCTCCCGGCACCCCGAGAGAGGCGCGCGAGAGACGGCGTCTGAGCCTCCTCCAGGCAAGCCACATGCAGAAGGCGTCTGAGCCTCCTCCAGGCAAGCCACATGCAGGAGGCGTCTGAGCCTCCTCCAGGCAAGCCACATGCAGGACGCCTCCCCGCGCCCGCAGGCCTGCTGCTGCTGGGCGCGTCGCTGCTGATGGACGCGGTGACGGGCGGGCTGCAGGACAAGGTCAAGAAGACGACCAAGGAGATCAACCCCCTCGTCAAGGGCGCCAAGCCCTCGATGCACGAGTCGATGCTCTGGACCAACGCCTCGGGCTGCCTCGTCGCGCTGCTGCTCGCGCTGCTGACGGGCCAGCCCGGTCGGCGGGCGTACGCCGTGTGCTCCAGAGCACCCTTCGTGGAGTCCTCGCGGCACCGTCTCTAGGCCACCTCGTCAACGGACTCGCCTTTTGCTCCAAGCACCCCGAGGCGCCTCCCTCGGCGGTGCGTGGCGGGCCCGTGTCTCGAGCCGCCTCTCACCGCCACGAGGACGCCGCGCGCAGGTGCTCAAGGCGATCGTCGTCTACTCCATCTCCTCGGCCGTCGGGCAGAACTTCGTCTACTACACGCTGACGCAGTTCAACCCGCTCGTGCTCACCACCGTGACCACCACGCGCAAGATCTTCTCGACCCTCTTCTCCGTCTTCCGCAACCCCGAGAACTCGCTCTCGCCGATGCAGTGGGGCGGCACCTCCCTCGTCTTCGCGGGCCTCATCGGAGACATCGCAAAGAAGATGATGTCCTAGGGAGGGCGGCCAGTCCAGACCGGGGCGCGGGGGGGTGGCGGACGGAGGAGGGGGGAGACGCTCAGGAGACGCTTCTCGGCCGCGGGCGCGGGGAGCGGCGAGCGCGTGCGGACTGCGCGTTTGGGGGCGGTTTGGGGGCTGGGTGAGGCCTCATGGCTAAATAATAATAATAAAGGTAGAAAAGAAAACAGTGTTGTGCCGCTGTCCAGCGCACCATGGCGGCGTGCCGTCCCCCCCCCCCCCCCCCATCCCTGCCTTCATCGCAAACTTTCTTTCTTTTACCGCTGCTCGCCGCGCCACTGTACAGGCGGCGACCGAGACACATCGCCACGGTGACTTCTTGCCGGTCGGCATGACATTTTACTTGCTCATCAGCGTCGCCGCGTTCGCCCCAGCTCCCGCAGTTCCCAGGCTCAGCTTCCGCCCGGTTCGAACGCGCACGGCGCCGCCGGTCGCCGCTGACGCCGACGCAGAGGCGAAGATTCTAAAGCTCGAGGCGGAGCTGAAGCGGCTGAAGGCCGAGGCTGTGGAGGCGGAGCTCAAGGCGCTGAAGGCTGAGGCTGGCATGCCGGCAGCAACCACGCCAGCAGCGACGCCGATTCGAGAGGTGGTGCGGGAGGCGATGGCGGCGGCCGAGGAGCGGGCTGCTGCAGCGCCGCCACCTCCGCCGCCATCTCCACCGCCGAGTGAGGCTCCTCTCTTGCCGTCGCCCGAGGAGCTTGGCGTGGACGGACAGCTGTGTGCTCTCGTCTTTTACGCCGAGGACGGCAATAACCCCAAGCTCGAGGAGCTCCTCGACGCCTTTGAGGATGAGGCGGCCGAGCTGGCGGCGTGTGGCTGCGCGCTGGTCGGCGTGCGCAAGGCGGAGGAGACTGAGAAGGCGTGCGGCAAGGAGGCCGAGTACAAGGAGCGCTTCCCGTCCTTCAACTTTGTGGGCGGGCTGGAGAAGCTGGTCGAGCAACGGGTCGCCCTCGGCCTGCCGCGTGAGTGGGGCGTCCTCGAGGAGCGCGAGCTCTACTACGACCCGGTGGTCGTGCTGCTCACAGCGGAGGGGCGCATGCAGTACACCGTCTCGCACGCGGGCCTGCGCGCGCCCTACATGGTTGGCAACCTGATGCGTGAGCTGCACGGCCTCGTGCCGACCGGCGCGCAGCTCAGCCGGGCGGAGGAGGAGGCGGTGCGAGTGGCCGCCTACGACGAGAACGCCGCGTGGGCAAAGGCGCGAGGACTGATCAGTGCAACTAGCATGCCTGAGCATGGGATCGACCTCGCGCAAGCCACGTGTTCAACAGGTGCTCGAGGAGGACGAGTCGCTGCGCCAGCCGACTCGCTCCTGGTTCGACGCGACGCCGAGGACCAGCTCGCGGCCGCTGCTTGCTGGCGTGGATGCCGCTGCGCTGCCAGAGGCGATCGACGAGTACCTGGCGGCGGAGCTGGGCGGGGCGGAGGAGGAGGAGGAGGAGGCGAGCCCCATATCAACGGAGTGCGCAGGGCGACGTCTCTGAGCGTGGCCGAGCCTTGCTCCGTGTTGACACAGGCGCCTCTCTACTCCAAGGACGGCGTCAAGGCGCCCGCCTGGTTCGCGCGCGCCAAGCGGCTCTCCGAGGCTGGACTCAACCCCAAAGACTCGGGCGGCGTGTACCGCCTCCTCTTCACGCCCCGCGGTGTGAACAGGCCAAGCAGGCCGAGGAGCGGGAGCGGTGGAACGGCACGGCGCCGTCCGCGACGCCCGGCCCGTTCCCTCTCGGGCCGAAGGGGCAGCGGCTGGCGCGCGATGCGGCAGGCGGGGCAGAGCGGTGCGAGCGCGTCTCGGAAGTGTCTCGGACCCTTCCCTGTAGGCACCGATGCGCGAGTCGGGCCAGAAGGCGCTGGCCGACGGCGAGGGACGAGCCATGTCCACGACACGTCTGCGACACGCCCGCGCGACACGCCCTTAGGCGCTTGCCGAGGCGAGCGCGCGCCAGCGCAAGCTGCTCGGCGGCTTGCTGCAGACGCTCGATGACGAGCTCGGCGCGATGTAGCGAGATGTAGCGCAGATGGTAGCGCAGATGGTGCCGCACCGGGTTGATTGCTTCGCGGGAGCGAGGTGACGGTCTGCTCTGCCACCGCCAAGGCACGGAGCTCCGCTCCCTCGCGGCGGGCGTGGCGGAGGAGCCGCAGCGAGAGAGGGACGGCACTCCTCCCTCGAGTGGCGGGGGCGCGGGCGGCGAGAGCGACGCGACGGCGTCGGCGCTGCTCCGCGCGGAGATGCTCGCACTCGGCCTGGAACGGTCCGCCACCAATGCGCAGTCGTCGCGGCGGCTGCGCTTGCTGCGCGAGCTGCAGGCGAGCGTGGGGGAGGTGGAGGCGGAGATATAGCCGAGATATAGTCGAGATATCGGAGCTGCAGGCGAGCGTGGAGGAGCTGGAGGCGGAGGGCTTCGCGGACCGGCAGGTGCTGCGCAAGCTCAAGGAGCAGGTGCGGTCGTCGTACGCCTCTGCTCCGCCCGAGTTCATCGCCGAGGCGCGCGAGGCGGGCCTGGCCTGCGGGGAGGCTGCTGGTCAGCTGATGAGCATCCATCCATCGATCAGGCGCGCAAGGCGGACCTCTTCAACGAGTACACGCCGCGCCGCTCGCTCGCCGAGATCGCCGCCGACGTGACGAGCATCGTCGGCGCGGGGCTCCGGGCGAGTCGAGCGGGCCGCGCGCCAACGAGCCGTGACGAGCGTCTCCTCACGCCTCCAGCCGTGAACAGGCGGTGGAGCGGTCCGTCGAGGAGACGGTCGCGGCGCCCGACTACCGCAGCCTCCCGCTCAACCAGCGCCGGAGGGTCGCGCGCGAGCCGGGCAACAAGATTGAGATCCGCAAGCCGCGGCGCCGCGGCGAGGGGGAGTAGGTCTTGATGGGGGAGGCGATGACCCAGCGCCAGCTCCAGGGGCGCGCCCCGCCGGTCCACTGAGTGCCAACATATGAGCAGTTCAGACGGCGCGGGGCGCGCATTGAGCCCGCATGCACATATGGTGTTAATTACGTAAAGTGTCGAGTTCTACTTCGCTCTAGCGCTCTACCGTCAGATATAGCCGCGCCGGGGTCGTCCTCTCCCGATGGGGGACTAGCACTAGCCGTCTTCCACAGTGGGGTCCCGGCGCAGCGCGGAGCACGAGCAGCGACCGAGCGAGTAACGTCTCGCGCACTGCCTACCAGTGTAATGCACGTAAAAGCCGTAGTGTCGGGTATAATGACCAGGGCGCAGGGGTGTGTGAGGGACGGTAACCCGACGGATTTGAAGATCCTTTTCCCTTCACAGAGCTGTCACACGTCTCACCAAGATCTCGTGCAGAGGGCGGGGACACACATGTCCCTAAATCCCATCTCGTCTCAGAGTTTGACCGTATTATTTCTTCATTCACAAGAATCGGAACTGCTCCAGTAGCTGCATGCGGTGGCCGAGGGCGCCGATGCTCAGGCAATCCTTCAGCTGGTGATCGTCCAATTTCTTGCACAGCAGTGCGCTCGAGCAACCCGCGTCGGCAAACGACCTGGCGTACGGCTTCGGGCGGCCGTCACGCTTGGCGTCGTCGTCCACGGGCCGGTAGTAGACCGTGGCGCCGCCGCTCTCGGCGCCCTCGACCCGCACGTACCGCTCGACCGTGAGGCTCGGCACCTGGAAACGCTTCCACTCCTCGTCGCTGAACTCAAGCAGCGACGGGTCAGCCGGCGCCTCCTGCTCCCCCCCCTCCCCCTCCGCAGCAGGATCCGTCTCTGCCGGTGCGGCCGCAACAGAAGAGGACGGCGCCTTCCCTCCCTCGGCCTTGCCGCTCGCCTTCGCCACTTTCCCGGCGAGCCCCTTGGAGAGCCTACGGGAGCTTACAACGGGTTCTCGAGTGATCTCGCCGCCCTCCTGGCGAGCTAGCCCCGTGGAGAGCCTGGCACTGACAAGCTCGCGCGGGGCCTCTCCGTATACAGGCGCGGCGGGCGGCTCCGGCCCGACACGCTCCCACGCGAGCCCCGACGCCTCGCGGTCTCCGCTCGTCCAGGCGTCGCTGAGGTGGAGGAAGGACAGCAGCTCGTCGATCGTCTTGAAGACCTTCTTGTTTGTCGAGACCACCTCCGAGAGAACCTCTTCAACCTGTCCACAAAGCACGTGCCCCGTGTGAAGAGGCGCTGTCCTCAGCCCGATCCCCCAACAGCAATCGCCCCAACCTCCTCGATCGCCTTCTCCGTCGCCAGCGGCGCGTCGAGCGGCGGCGCCGCGCCGCCGTCGCCGTTGTCCGCCGCCGCGCGAGGCAGGCGCGCGCGCAGCCCCTGAGCAGACGGAGTTGGTCACCGCGGGTCGGCCGGGAGTGGGCAGGATCGCGGCGTGAGAAGGGTCGCGGGAGTGGGCCGCGACACACACCGCCTTGGCGAAGATGTCGGTGAGCGCGGCGGTGGGCGCGGGAAGCCCGAGCCGCGTCTCGACGGCGCGCAGCCGGGCGGTGGTGTCGGCCACGTCGGCGCCGCTGGGGAGGTGGTGGCGGAGGAGGCGGCCGAGGGTCGCGTCGCTCGGGTACGTGATCTCGAAGGAGAGGCCGAGCCGGCCGCGGCGGCGGATGGACGGCATCAGCTTCTCGGGATAGTTTGTGGTTGCGATGATGATGCGCTTCGAGGCGCCGCGCTGCACGCCGTCGAGCGCGTTGAGCAGCCCGTCGAGCGTCACCTAGCCGAGATGCCGCCGAGGTGCCGCCGAGGTGCGGCTGTCGGGCGCGTCGAGCGGCCGGGCGGGCGCCACCCTGTGCTGCTCCTTCTTGTCGTCGGCGCTCTTGACCCCGATGGCGGCGTCGACATTGTCCACATCCTCGAGCAGGATGATGCCCGCCGCCATGTTGAAGCACTGCAGCAGCGACTCATTGTTCATCTGGCCGCTGTTCATGTCGATGATGTTGATGTCGAGCGCGTACCGCGCGGCGAGGTGGCGCACCTGCGGCCGAGGTGCATCGAGGTGCGGCCGGGGTGCGGCCGAGGGGCGGCCGAGGGGCGGCCGAGGGGCGGCCGCGACGGAGCAGCGCGGAGTCGCACCAGGTGCGTCTTGCCGGTGCCGGGCGGGCCGTGGAACAGGAAGCCTGTTCAAAGCGGCACGAGCGTGAAGTGTGCGGCCGTCTCCCACTGGCGCGCGGCGGGAGGGAGGGCCGATCTTGAGCGGCAGGCCGGCGGCGAGCAGGTCGGCGGAGGGCGTGGCGAGGAAGGACTCGACCTCCTCGTAGACACGGTGCAGCAGCCTCTGCTCGTAAAAGACGAGCGAGGAGAAGTTGGTGGTGATCGGCTCGTCCGCTCCGCGACTCTCCCACATCTCCTTCCACGAGTTCCACCTGCTCACGCGGCGGTGTGAAGCGGTGTGAAGCGGCGCTCTGCACGGCTCTCCCGCGTCTTCTCGACTCGCGCCTCTGGAAGCGAAGCACGCCCTCCTCCTTCTCTCCGTACGCCTGCTGCGCACGCTCGAGCATCTCGACGAGGTGGCGCAGGCGCGTGTGCAGCGGGTCGAAGATGTAGAGGTCGATGTACTCTTGCGCGACCAGCTCGTTGTTCCAGCCCGTCTTCTTCATCTCGCCCTTAGTGTAATACGACATCAGCACGCTGCTGCAGCTGCCGTCGTGCGCCCGGAAGACGAAGCTGTGCGAGCCCTGCGCCGCCCACAGCGAGAGCGCGAACTGGTCCGACTTGCGCCTGCGCGGCGAGTATGCGCGGTGGCTGCGGGGTGCACTGCCGCAGGCTGGTCCGACTTGCGCCTGCGCGGCGAGTACGCGCGGTGGCTGCGGGGTGCACTGCCGCAGGCTGCTCGCTCACTACCGTCGCCTCGTTGGAATACGAGGGCCGGCTATTCGTTGCATCTAGGCGCCCTGTGCGTGTCCTGGAACATGGTGAAGAAGGTGGTGCCGTCTTTCTTCCGGAAGAGCGGCGCCACGTTGTTGAACTGGACCTGCTGCGCCTTCATGTACCGAGGCAGCCACACCTTGAACCACTCGAGCACGGGCGTGCTCTCCTTGTTCTCGCGTGAGAGCTGCATCGTGGTGCAAAAATGGCGGACGAGGACGTTGCGATACATCCAGATGGCGGCGTAGCGCAAGGCAAACGCAATGCCGCCGAGAAGCAGCGCCGCCACAAACCCGCTTTGCCAGATGGAGTCGAAGTAGTGAACCAGGCTCCAGACAGCGCCGCCGCAGATGCCGAGTGTTAGCGCCGTAAAGATGAGGAGGAAGAGGAGGTTGCCCCAGCGGCGCCGCGTCGGGAGCACGAGGTCGGAGACCGGAGACTTTGCGAGCTCTGCCGCTGCCGAGTCGTGCTGCTGCACGTGGAGCTGGCCGTTGAGGAGGAGCGGCTCGACGTGGCTGATGGTGCGCGCATGCCGGGGCATGGTGGTCGGAAGGCAGCCAAAGAGTGCGTCGACCTGTGCTCGTGCAGGATTCTTTTTCCGCGCTATTTTCTTTGCTCGCGGAGGATTCTTTTGGCGAGCTATTTTCTTTTTCGCCAGTCCTCTTGACTCGACTTTTCAAGAACAGATTTCAAGAGGCACGTGGTGTGAGAAAAAAACGCAACACAACTTCTCGCGGTGGCGGGCGACGCCGAGAACATCAACAAGCAGGCGCGCAATACGCGTATCACTCGTCCGTGCCTTGCAGCCGGCGACGAGATTGCTAGAGGCTGAGCAAGCCTGCTCTAGTCTCACACGTTCGCCCCTGTCGCCTGTCTGTGTTGTTGTGCTGTTGTTTGTCTCTTGGCACCTTGGAGTGCTGGGGGGGGCGACAGGGGGGACGTGGCCTGAGTGATGTGTACGCCCACTCAGGATGTGTGGCAGCCCGCTGGCTGTGTGTCTTGTGAGCTTGTTTGTGTCTGTGTGTCGTTCGTGCGTGTCGTCATCATCTGTCTAGCGTCCACCCATACCGCGTCGGTGTCCAGTCCGAGCCTGACTGTTCTTCACCTTCCTACATACCATACCATACTGGCTCAACTCCCCTGAGCGTGCCAGTTGGGTCAACGACGTCAAGAACAAGCAAGCGGCAGACGTCCTCTTTACCCTCGGCCCCAGTGGAGGGCGCCCGTACCGCCTAGCTCCGCGGACGGGCTCCTCCACCCTTCACGTACGGATCATGTAGTCCCCACAATCGCTGTCGTGGGATCGCTTGTCATGCGAGAGAGTCCAAGCTGCAGAACATGTGCGAGCCAGCGCCTACGCCGCTCAAGGAGTCAGGCGCGGAGCGCCGCGCGCGGAGTGCGCCCCGAAGAAAAATTTGAGGGTTGAGGAGGGCTAGGTGCGAGTTCTATTAAGAGTTGACTCACACGCTAGGAACCACTCGGCCCACCCACGGGCCCAATCTCAAGTGGCGGCGCTCCGCGCCTGTGCAGCGGCGCGCTCCGCGCGTGTTCTGCAGCGGCGCGCTCCGCGCGTGTCTCTGGGCGCTACATGCGGCCGCCGCCGTGCCCTTCATCAACCGTGCGCTCGAGAACTGGGGCGGGCTCAACTGGGAAGACCGCTTTCACCACAACGACAGGTCACATGCACAGAGGGGCGGCATTGGAGCTTCGCTGCAGCGGGGTGTGGTCATGACGCGGAAGAAGGCAAAGACACAGCGTCTGCCAGACGCGTGCTACGACGTCAGGCCAGCTTCGAAGCAGCGTGGCCACAACTGACTGCAACAGACTGTCTTCATTTATGTGTCTAGACTCTACCGGTACCGCGGTGCGCTCCGCGCACATAGGTGCCAGCGCGCTCCGCGCGGTATCTAGCCAGCGCGCTCCGCGCAAGTGTCTAGCTAGCGCGCTCCGCGCGTGTGTCCAGCTAGCGCGCTCCGCGCGTGTGTCCGGGTAGCACCAGCGCGCTCCGCGCGCACGATAATCCAGTGCCTACACTTGTAGGTAGGCACTGAAAGCTTGTTTCTGCAGCTTGGGAGAAGCACTTGGAGCACTTGATGCGTTGTCTTCTTGTTTCGTTCTAAAATTCTGGTGTTAGTGCCAGTGCGCGCCAGTCCCGTGCCCAGTGTTGTTTAAAGGAGTTTTGTTGAAAAATTCTAAAATTCTCGCTACTCTCGTGAGGCTGTGAAAGCACGCCCACCCTGCGGCACTTGCCCCCGAAGGCAAGTGCGTCTGTTCACAGCTCATGAGAGTAAATTCTCGCCGCTTCAGCTTCGCGGTGTCGGCGGCGCAAAACGTCAAAGAGGCATGTACGTGCAGCGAGTTCTCGCGCCCCGCTTCGACCGGCGCAGCGCTCCGCCGCTGCGACGTCTCGCGCGCCTCTCAGCGGCGGTCCGGGCCCTGAGCCGAGGCAGCGCGCCGCCGCTGAGTGCAGGGATCGAGCAGCACGTTCAGAGCCTCGTGCGCCGGCATGCCAAGCTGCAGCAGGAGATGTCGTCAGGCGACTTTAGCGTGGCGCGGGCGCGAGAGGTGGCGCGGCTCGCGCCGATCGCCGACGCCCACGCGCGAGTGCAGGAGGGCGCGGCCGAGGTGCGTGGGCTGAGGGAGCTAGCCGACGACGCTTCGTCAGAGGCGGAGCTTCGCGAGCTCGCCAGAGCCGAGCTGGAGGAGGCGGAGGCGGCGCTGGGCGTGCAGCAGGAGTCGCTGGTGGCGCTGCTGGTCCCGGTCGACGACGAGGAGGAGGCGGCGGCGGGGCGGGGCGCGCTGGTGGAGCTGCACCCCGGCGTGGGCGGCAACGAGGCGGCTACCTCAGCGGAGGTCTGCTCTTCTGCGAGACCGTGTGGTGGACGCGTCATGCGCCCTGGTAGGCTGGCCTCTTCACCGAGGAGCTCCTCCGCATGTACGAGCGCTACTGCAAGCGCAAGGGCTGGCGCTTCTCGCTGCTGTCCCACTCTGCGTTTGAGTACGGAGGCTGCCGCGAGGCGTCGGCGTCGGTGACGGGCGAGGGAGTGTTCTCCGCGCTGCGGTCGGAGAGCGGGACGCACCGCGTGCAGCGGATCCCCGAGACGGAGTCGCAGGGGCGCGTCCACACCTCGACGGCGGTGGTTGCGGTCATGCCGGAGTACGAGGCGGCCGAGGTGCCGGAACTGACCGAGGCGCGCAGGCGGAGAGTGGACATGTGCGCCCGCGAGGTCGCGTGCATCACATGCCCGGGGCATGTCTCGCAGGCGGACGTGCAGGTGGAGGTGATGCGCGCGGGCGGCGCGGGCGGGCAGCACGTCAACACGACCGAGTCCGCCGTGCGGCTCACGCACACACCGACCGGCATCAAGGCCTTCTCGCAAAACGAGCGCTCGCAGCACTCGAACCGCGCGACGGCGATGAAGATGCTCGCCGCGAGAGTCAAGGCGCACGAGGAGGAGAAGCGGCGCGCCGAGCAGCAGGCGGCGCGCGGCGCGCCGGCTAGCGGCGGCCGGTCGGAGCGAGTCCGCACCTACAACTTTGCAGACGACCGCGTCACCGACCATCGGATCAACTGCTCCAAGTTTGGGCTCGCGGGCATGTTTGCGGGCGAGCTCATCGACGAGTTTGGCGCCGAGCTGGCGGCGGCGCGCGCAGAGGAGCGGCTGCAGTCGCTGCTAGCCGAGCTCGAGCAACCTGGGTAGCTCGACGCGGGGTAGCGGACGTCTCGCCGCCTCTGAGAGAAAGCGGACAGAAGTCAGCCCCTTGGTGTGAAAGGCCGCTTCGTAGACGATTTTCTGCGACGTAGACGTACTGCCGCTCTCGGCTTGAGCTCGATGGTCGATCTGATAAAATCACCGCCTTTTCTATACTGATGGTACACCGTACTACTGTGAAGATGCAGCAGCCGAGCAACAGATACAGAGAAGCTCCGGTTAGGGCGCTCTCCCGCTCTGAAGACGTCCACAGGCACTTGTCTACCGCTTCGCCTTCGTCTCCTTGCTGCGCAGCAGGGTGTAGTTCGCGCCCACCTCCCCCACGCTGTCCAGCACGTGGACGGCGCTCGCCATCTCGACCGCGTCGTCCTCCGGCGGAAGCTCCGCGTCGCCCGCGGCCGCTTCCCGAGCGCGCTCGTCGCGCATCCGCTCGTGGTGGGCCTGCCGACGCGCCACGCCGGCGCTCGTGTGCCTCGCCGCCGCGTCCGGCGCCGGCATCGATGCTGTCCGCACGAGCGTGACTCGCCACTCCACGACTTCCACGACCTCCACGACCGCCGAAAAGTTCTCCCACTCGCCGCCCCAAACCGAGTCCTCTCTACAGTTACATACATACGCTTACGGAAAACCAAAAGGGGAGCGCGCTAGGAGGCAACACGAACTTCACCGACGCGGTGATCTCGCCCTAGATGTCGCCATGTGCCCGGTGTCGGCCGGTGGCAGCGCATCGTGCAGCAGCTGTCCTGCTAGCCACCCAATGTTGTGGCTTGCCCACGCCCACAGGTCACCGTCGTCCTCCCCCGGTCGCCTGCCGGCGCCCCTCTCCCGATCTGGCCGGGGCCCACTCCCGAGCCAAGCGCCAGAGGCCGTCCAGCCCAGCCAGCGCCAGACAAGGTCAACCTGCTTCAGCGCGGACTGCGCGGTTGGGGGCGGCCGATCGGCCGCATAATAGTAGGAGGCATCCGCGCCGTCGCTCAACGCAGCCGCCGCCGGCGGTGGCGGCGGGCTCGGCGCACTCTCTGGAAGAGCACGATACGATAGGGCGGCGAGGCCGCACACCGCCGCCACCACGACGGCGATGGAGCGCAGCGGGGCCGACCCGCTGCGCGGAGTCGTGCTCAGCCCGGCAGCGCGGGTGCTCACAGTGGCGCCGCCAATGTGGTTCCCGCTCCGGGCGCGCGCCTTGCCGCCGGAAGAGTCCACCGGCGGCGGGATTACTATGCCTTCGGCTTCACGCACAAGCCGCGCATACGCCTTTGCACGTGCTAGGGCATAGTCGTCGCCGCCAGCACTGCCGGAACGGGCCAGGGTGGTGTTGGCCTCACCGGCATCGCCATCGGTGCTGGCCACTGGAGGGTCTGTCTTTAACCTCACAGCCTTAGCCTTGGCGCGCGCGACCCGCGCCGCGCGGTAGGTAGCAATCTCCTCGTCCTCCTCGCCATCTATCCGGGCGTCTCCAACTCCATGGTACTGCATGATCTCTGCAGGCGCAACGCGGCTGTCGGCACACTTGGCACGCGCAACGCGTTCGGCGCGGCGCCTCGATGCCTCGACGTCCTCGTCACCATCGATGCGTGCATCACCAACGGCGACGTAGTGGCCGTTAAGCATCCGCTGCCTCTCGGCGGTCGGAGCGCCACCCCTGGCCAGGAATGCCCGCCGTCCGCGGTACGAAGGCGTGTGTTTCCCGGCGGCAGATGTGTCCCACGGAAACGGAAGGAAGAATTGGTATGCATCGGATTCTCATGCCCGAATTCTTCTCTTCTTCATTCAACCTCCAGGAAAGTACCCGTCCGCACACGTTCTCGAGGCGACACTCCGGGGCGACCCTCCGAGGCGACATTCTACGACCCCTCCTCGAGCCCCTCCCTCAAGCGCCCCCGCTACGCGGACAATCCCCTCATTCTGCGGATGCCACCCTCCCCGCAATTCGACGTGCGCTCGACGGCGGATGCGGTTGCTGCCGACCTCTGCGCCCTCGTCGCCGAGCAAGACGGCTGGGAGCCCTACAAGACAAGACGGGGGGTGAGGATCGAGCGCTGCCGCGCCGCAGCTCTCCACCGATGGCGCGCGTTTGGGTCGATCGACGCACCGCTGCTCACTGTCGTGGAGGCCGCCTCCAAGGTGGCCAGTCGTCCGGACTGGGATCCAATGTGCGCCGAAGGAAGGCTTGTCGAAGAGGCTGGCACAGTTGAGTCAGCATCGTACAGCGTCGCATGGTGGGTCTTTAAGGGCGTGATGGGCCTCGTCAATGCGAGAGATATGTGCGTTGCGATGACGGTCAAGGAGGTGAGGCCCGGTGTCTGGGTCACTGCATCGCGCTCAATCGAGCACCCTGCCTGCCCGGAGGTAGAATCCATCCCTTGCCGCCCCCGACCACGCGCCCTTGCCAATATCTGAGGGCTGGTCCGTCTTGGTAGGTGCCTGGCAACGTTCGCGGCCGCTGCGACATCGCGGGCCTTCAGCTGCGAGCGAACAAAGCTGGCGGCACAGACGTGACATACGTGGCGGCGGTCGATCCCAAGGGATGGCTCCCAAAAGTGTTGGTCAACTTGGGCGCGGGCAAGGGCGCCTTCTGCATCGACTTTCTCCGCTCGTACGTCGCCACGGGCCAGCGAGGGCGGTGGAGCGCGGCTGAGGCGGAGACCCACGCCGCTGACGAGTGCATGTAACCAATACTGTACGCGATGTGCCGCTGTGGAGTGAACAATTAAGGGTCGGGTTGACGGTTGCAGCCTTGCAGTGAGTGACCAGCTTGAGCAGTGTTACCCGCTTTGTGAGCGAGAGCCGAGAGAGAGAGTTTTTTGCGCACGACAGTGACCGTCACATCTAGCCGCGATCACGACGAGATCGCGCACAAACCCCACAAGTGGAGATCCATCCGCTCGCATCTGTGATCTGACATCTTCGTTCGCTCCACACAACCACATGCACATCGGCTGTAACTCATTGCGGTTTTCGTTTAGGAGTACACACAAAAAAAGCTCAAAGCTCAAACTGCTTTAGATCTGATCGTTTCGCATCAACCACAAGGTACACAGTGGCGGCTATAATATAGCAGAGAGAGAGAGAGAGAGAGAGAGAGAGAGAGAAGAGAGAGAGAGAGAAGAGAGAGAGAGAGAGAAGAGAGAGAGAGAGAGAAGAGAGAGAGAGAGAAGAGAGAGAGAGAGAGAGAGAGAGAGAGAGAGAGAGAGAGAGAGAGAGAGAGAGAGAGAGAGAGAGAGAAAGAGAGAGAGCCCTTCTCCCGCCGCTATCCCCCGTGCCACCAGCTGCCACCGTTGCTCCGCCCGCGAAGGGTCGTTAATGCGCTCAGTCATAGTCGGCCATAAAGTGAGCCCATTCTTCGAGGGGCGACAGCGGCAGCCTTTCCCTTGGGCGGCAGCCTTTCCCTTGCGAGCACGGAGGCGGCGGAGGCGGCGGCCTGGGGGGCGGTGGCGTGGGCGGCGGCGGCGAGTCCTCATCCCTCGCCGCGCTCGCCGCGGCGGCGCCCCTGACCGCATCGAGGGCCTTGAGCAGGGCGGGCTGGCCTCGGCTCGGGCATGTCTCGTGCTGGACGGAGCTCCACCGCGCCGCTGCCGCCGCCTGGGCCGAGAGGAACAGGGGTTGGCGAGGTGCGGCGGGGTTGAGAGGCAGCAGCCGCGAGGGGAGCGGTGGAGTGAGGGAGGCAGCTGCGGCGAGGGCGAGAGGCGGCAGGGGAGTGAGAGGCAGTGGTGAGGGCAGCAGCGCTGCGGGGACGGTCGCCTTTGCGGCGTGCGCCGCGTCTGCCTTTCGGAAGAAGAGGGAGGGCAGGCAGCCGGTCGCCGGGTCGAAGGCGGCGTCGAGGCTCGCCCACTTAACGTCGAATAGCCTCGCCTTTTCCCGCTTTTTGCGGGCGCGCATCGGCTTTCCTGGGTGCGCCCGGTTGTAGGTGGCCATGATCGCCTGCGGGAGATCACGCCGAGACTGCGCCGAGACCGAGTCGAGATCGGTTGCAAGCGGCCGCGCCATCGCCTTGGCCGCCGGCAGGCCGAGGTGGTCGATCACGGCCGCCTTGACCTCCTCGAGCAGCCAGACGTAGCCGTAAAAGATCGCGTCGAGCAGCGCGCGCCTGGGGGCGGGGGAGGCGTCGGCATGGAAGGGGAGGCGGCGGGCGAGGGCGTCGGCGGCGAGAGGGGCAGCGGTTGCCGGAAGAGGTCGGCGTCGCCCTCGGGCAGGATCACCCTGTCGTGGCGGAGGCACCTGTTCGGGAGCAGAGAGGCTGTGACGAGACGCTGCTCACGCCTCGGGCAGAGCCGGGCGTGCGGCGGCGCACGAGAGCAGCAGCCGGAACACGTCCGGGTCTCGGTCAACAAAGAGAGTGCGCGGCTCCGAGGCGGAGGAAGAGCCGTTCTCCTTGTCGGCATTCTCCTTGAGGCTCTTGCGGAAGTACTCCGCCTTGGCGAGCGTCGCCGATGTCGTCGCGAAGCGCACGCCGCCCACCTCGACCATCACTTTCTCCGACTCGGGCGCGGCCAGCGCCGACCGCGGAGATTTGGACCAGATCAGCGCGCTGCTGTGGCTCGGTGAGCGGGAGGAGAGTGTAGAGCTCCTCCGCGGCTTGCCTCCCGACCGCGATGCGGACGGGCTCGCCGCCAGAGGGCTCGCCGCCGCAGCGGCGGCGGCTACCACAGCTCGTCGGACGCCAGAGAGCCTGGCCGGGCTGCGAGCGGGAGAAGGCGGCACTGGAGCTGCCTCAGACTCAGTCGCTGACTCGGCCGTGATCGCCAGAGCTGCCTCAGGCGCTGACTCGCTCGCCTGGACTGTGGCCTCGTCTGTCCCTGCCGGCTGATACTCTGCCGCCGTATTTATGTGTGCATCGACGTTGGCGCTCGCGCCCGAGAAGGGCTTCACTAAAAGGACTGGGCTCAGTGGTGTCGGTTCAACTTCCTTTTTGCGGCCGAAGGAGGTCCTCCGACCGAAGGACAGCCGCGAGACGATCATGGGTGGCATTTTGCTGGCGGAGAGCAGCCCTGGCGGCAGGACAGGCAGGCTCGCTCGCAGCGTCGCAGTGCAGCGGTCGCAGCTCGCAGCAAGGCGCGGGGTCCTGCCCCCCACTTGAAGGCCTGTAGGGAAAAAGAATTTTACAACTTAACTCCCTCGCACAACACTGGGCACGGGACTGGCGCGCACTGGCACTAACAGGGAAAAAGAATTTACAACCACACGACCACAGGTACACCACGGCCGTTCTCCCATCCCTCCCTTGGGTTGTCTGTTTTCTTTCTTTTACCACGGTCCCCTCCCCTCCCTTGTCTGTTTTCTTTCTTTCTTTCTTACAGGCACACCACGGGAGCCGCCTAAGCGACTCCTGCGAGGACGGCGAGGCACTTAGCTGCACTACTCGACCGGGAAAAGAATTTACGTCCCGTAGGCGGGACTGGCGCGCACTGGCACGCGAACATGCGCGCGCGCAACAACCGCCCAGCGCGTGGCGGTGGTCGGAGCAGCACTGCACTAACTTCTCGATCGGCCGTCCCCGCGTAACGTCCCCAGCGCCCCGCAGGCCGTGACGGTTGCGAGTCACACGGATGGGAGCCGATGCCGCCGCCGACGTCCGCCCGCCAAAGAAGCTGTTGGCCGAGCTCCTGCTCGAGTCCGAGCGGCCACCCGCGGCGCCCGCCCACGCCAGCGACCATGCCGGGCAGGAGGAGCCGCCGCCGCCCACGCCCAAGTCGCAGCAGCTTTGCCACAGCCTCCGGCTCGCCTCGCCGCAGCTGGCCCGCTCGCCGATGCCGATGTCCCCATCCACGAGTTGGGCACCCCGCCGTGGCTCGCTCGTCTCCAGCCGCTCCCTCGTCTCGCACGCTGCGCCGTCACAGGGCGGGATGGCCCGCGCCGGCTCGTACATCACGATGAGCGACCGCGTGAGCCCCTCGCGGCTGCTCCAAGCGGCGGACGCGATGCTGGCGGAGGAGCGCGCGCGGTCGTTCGACCTGGTCGAGCTCTCCGCGCGACTGCAGGCCGAGGCGGAGGAGGCACGCGCCGAGCGGCGCAGCCTCAAGGAGAGCATGCTCGCCCACCTCGAGGCGGAGAAGGAGGAGCGGACAGAACTGCTCTCGCGGCTGGCCCAGGCGGAGGAGCGGAGCGCGAGCCTGGAAAGGGAGCGGCAGGCGGAGCGCGAGCGCGAGAGCAGCGTGCGCGACGAGCTCACCGCCACCGTCAACCGGCTCGCCGAGCGTTCCGTCGCGGCGGCCAACTCGGCGGCAGAGGCGCAGCAAGTCCGGGCCAAGCTCAAGAGCGAGCGCGACACGCTTGCGGCGGTGCGCGCGGAGCTCGTGCAGCGCGAGGCGGATCTGCGTGCCTCGCACGCAGAGCTCGCCGGCTCGTCCGCCGCCCTCAAGGAGCTGCAGGAGAAGTGCGCCGACCTCGCGGCGCAGCTCAAGATCAAGAATGGCGTCGTCGCAGAGGCGCACGCGCAGGCGCGGCACTCGAACGAGGCGACCGCTGCCGCCAGGACGGAGCTCGCCAACTTCCAGCGGCTGGCGGAGTCCGCTTTCCTCCAGATGTCGAGCGTGTGAGCTTGTGTGCTTGATGTGGAGGGGGGAAAGCACGTGCCCCCGCGAGCATAACTCTGTGCATGTCGTCGTGCTCGGCTAAGTCCCTCAGTCTGAAAGACAGATATTTACGCTGCGCAATGGCCCGCACTGGCACGGATACAGGTACACCACCACACAGGAACTTTTAGCCCGTCTCTCCGGCACTCAAGAGGACAAAAACTCTCTCTCAAGAGGAGAGAAAGATAAGAGACTCAAAGAGAGAGAGAATCTCTCGCTCGGGACTCGCGGGTCCCTCTGGACCCTGCCTCCCCCGGCAAATCGCCTCCACGTCCAGCACACCTCTCCTTGCTCTTCTACCTACATGCCTACATGCTAGTCCACATCCATGTCGTGCCCGTGCGCCGCGAAATTCTTTTTAACACCAGCTGAAGAGCCCGGCAAGGGAGACGAACAACCTCCTCGTCACCACGGCTGCTCTCTCCTCACCAAGAAGATGACGGCTGGCGCCGCCTCGTCGTCGACGCTCCCTCTGGCCAACGACTTCGCGTCGCCGCAATTTATGCCAGGCTCGCACCGCACGATCGAGCTTCCACTCGCTGACGAGCCGGACAAGTCGGTCGAGTCGGCCGACGAGCCGACGCCCTCGGCCAGCTGCTGCGGCTGGGAGCTCACTCGGCGCCGGCGCCGGATTCTCGCTGTCCTCTGCTCTCTGTGTGTGCTGTGGTGGATCGCGGTCGGCATCTTTGCCGCGGTGACGGTGACAACGCTCACAAACGATCTGCGCTTCGTGATTTGCGAGATCAGCGCCTGTGTGCCCAAAGAGCCGGCCTTGTCGGGTGCTGATATTGCCTCCTACACGGGAGCGGCCAAGGTCGCGGCGACAGAGGAGGAGGGCTCGTGCAAGCCGTGCCTCAGCCCGAACGACGAGTGTGCGCAGAAGCTGGATGAGCTGACATCGCGAACGCTGGACCTCCCACTAAACGTCTCATTCGCTGTCTTCAACCCGCTCATATTCGGCTACGCCGTTGACCGGGTGGTGCTTCTCACGAGCCTCAGCCCGCTGCCGCCGCTCTCTGCGCAAGCGGCCCTCGCGCTGGACCCGCTCGAGGCGCACGACCTTGGTATCGCCATCTTTTGCGACGCGGGCCGCTCCTCCTTTCCGCCCGGCTGGGGCGACGAGCTCTCAATGCGATGCCACTCAAAGCAGGACGGAGAGACCATCCATCGCCTCTCCCATGCGCAGCGTGGCATCGGCGGCGAGCGCTTCTATGCGACCGTCGCGTTTGTGTATCGCGTCCCCGTTCTTGGCTGGACCATCGCGATCGCGCAGGACGCGTCCCACTATGCCGCCAACTTCGATTTTGGCGGACCACAGCCGCTCGACGGCCTCGAAATGTGCTCGGGCGTTTCGGCGGTCCAGTATGGCGCGCCGGCGAACGTGCTCAAGCTGTACGACTTTGAGGAGTACAAGGTGGGCGTCTGCGCGACCGACCTCGGCAGCCTCGTGGGGCTGAGCACGCGCGTCACTTCAGAGATATCGTGCATGCTCGCCCCGGCCCTTCCCTATTGCGGAGGCGAGGCCAACGACACTGCGAGCGAGGCGCGCATGACGATCCCGATCGAGATGTATAACGCGGCAGGCTTCAACCTGACGCTATGGGAGGACGGGTCGGAGACGCTCGTGTACGACGCCGAGACGGGCGAGCGGATCGCCACGGGCCACCTCGAGCGGACGGAAGTCATTCCCGCGCGGTCGGCGCGCAGAGTCAACTTTTACAGCGACCTGCGCGAGTTCCTTCAGCGCTACTCGGGCGGCGGGCTGGTTGGCCTTGCCTTCGAGGCGATCCAAAAGACGCTCGCCTCGCCTGTGCGGCTCGACATCAACGTTGCTGCGACGCTCCTCGGCACAAAAGCCGAGATGCACTTTGAGGTTGGCCACACATCACTCATCGGCCTCGCGCAGCTCGTCGGCTGCCGCTGCGAAGTTGGGCCCGGCCCAGAGTGCCGCAGCGACACGTCCGTCTTTGTGCACCGTCAGGCCGAGAGCTTTGGCCGGAGATAGCGCCGAGGCCAGGCTCTGGGTGCCCAATCGGCGGAGCGAGGAGTGCCCTGGATGTTAGATGTTACTGTGCTATAGTGTTGTTCGAGAGGACCGCAGGTTGTCTCTCTGATTCTAGATGTAGATGTGTAGTCAGGAGTACAATTATGTGGGGGGGTGGGGGTGTAGTAGGTATAGTACGGACTACCCCGATGGTCGACATTTTGGTTGGCTCTCCGTTTTCACGTCATAGGACAAAGTGTCATTAAATCGGAGAGATTTTTCTTGAATCGGACACACCACACACACACACTGCCCATCGACTTGGCGCGGCGCTCGGCTCTGGCGGCGAGCACGTGCGCGAGAGACGTGGAGCGACTGTGGTCATAAACCTCGCACCATGTGTCAGCCAGGCTCAGTGGGCGAAGTACTCAATATAGTGATTGCAGGAGCCTGGTCCAGCAACGACCGCAACTGTTGATGCTCCCTCTTCAACACCTCGAGCTCGGCCGCTGCCGCCGCCGCCTCGGCCACCGCACGGGAGCGGCCGGCGCGGGCCTCGTCTCGCTCCAGCGTCAATTGCTGCACCGAGAGTAGCAGGGACCGCACCCGGTGCGTTTCGGCGCTCTTGTCGGGCGCATCGTCACCAGAGGTGAACATCGGCTGCGAGGCGAGCTGAGCGGCGTCGGTGCCTGCTTGGCTGGCTGCTTCCATCGTGGCGGCCGTCAGTCGCAATCGCTCCACCATCGGCCGCCGCAAGGTGAGGACTGAGCTGACCCCCTTCGTGTCGCTGTGTGGGGTCGCCTCACCGCTCGGTTCAGCGCCGGCGCCCCCGCAGGCATGAGCCCGCGATGCCTCCGCCTCAGCGAGGTATTGCATCAGAATGGGGTTCGAGTCTAGGAACGGATCTCTGAACAGGCGGCTCGCGCGAGGTGCCGCCAGCGACGGTTCGTCACCCGCCACGAGCTCGTGGTCGAATGGTGTGACTGTGTCGCCGTCCAAGACGGAGAGCCGACGTAGCTTGTGGAGCGTGCGGTGGCGGACGTACTCCTCTTGCCCGGCACTGCAAGGGTTGCTGCCGAGGTCGAGCTCAGCCAAGTTGGCGAGGCGAGAAAGAGAGGAGAGGGCGTTGTCGAGCGAGGTCAGCTCGTTGCGGTAGAGGGAGACCGCAACGAGGAGCGGGCAGCTGACGAGTGGCGCGAGGCACGCGATCCGGTTGTTGGACGCAAAGAGATGTGTGAGTCGCTGGCAGCTCGAGAGCGGCCCGAGGCTCGCGATCCTGTTGAAGCTGACGTTGAGCGAGACTAGGCGCGAGAGGTCGCACCCCGCGAGCGAAGTGAGAAGGTTGTGCGAGAGCGACAGCACCTCGAGGTCTGTAAATGGCGAGAGCAGGCCAACTGTGGTGAGTCCCATTTGCCGCGCGATTAGTGTCGTCGCCTCCTCGGGGCGCTCGTCTCCACTGAGCTCGATGAGGCGCTGCGTCACGGCGCTATCCGTACCAGGCGTTGCGGGCTCATCCTTCCCAGCTTGCGGCGGAGGCCCGAGTGGCATGCAGCATCGTAGTTAGGAACGCTGAGGGTCCGAGCGATCTGCGGGAACGTTACGTCTTCTGATAAACGCAGTATGGAAGATACAAAGAGGGGGAGGAGCAACGAGCGCCCTGGCGTGAGCCAAAGACACTCCCAACTGCGCTCCGTCACCGGTGTCGCGGTCTCCCCCACTGAGGACGATCTGCGGGGTCACAACGAACGAAGCACGAAAGCGTGCTCGACAGAGCGACAGCGCAGCGCACTGCCGTCCAGTCGGCGAAGGGACGGCTGCTGCGCAAAGTGATCAGTTCTAATGAATGTACCGGGGCCCGACGGATAGATGAATCCGGGGCACCCTCCGCTCGAATCCCTGGCTAGGGGTTCGAGGTGGCCCCCACCCTGGGGCCTCCCATCAAGAACCAAAGAGGAGGTTTCTCCTATTCACAGCTCATGCCATTTCCGGGTAAGCCGAGGCTCATCTGGGCGCGCGAGTGCGACCCTCCCTTGACGCCTGCGTGCCGTATCCGTATCGCTCCGTCCGCCAGCGCTGTCATGGAGAGCCACGACCCAGGCCAGATCCCTGGCCAGCCCAAGCCCAGACGGTTGATGGGCTTCGTGTACAACACAAAGGTGCGCCCTCCTTCCGCCACACCTCGGGCCGCACGGTGCGACACCCGGCGCGCCACGCATCGCAGGCGATGCTGATGTGGAGCATCGTCTTCTTTGTCCCTCCGGTGCTGATGCTGGCGTGGAACCGTGGCCGGCTATCGATGCCGCCCGAGGAGCTCATGCAGACGACCACCTACCGCATCCGCAGCAAACCCGGGGAGGAGGTCGTCGAGGAGCGGAAGGCGGCGCTGCAGAAGGTGCTCTTTGAGACCAACGACGCGCAGACGGGCTTCCGGCAGGAGTGGGCGATCAAGCGCGATGAGGAGCGCAAGCGGCGGGCGGAGGAGCGGGCGGAGCGAATCGCGCGTGGCGAGATCGCTTGGTGGCAGTGGTGGCGCTAGCTCAGCCGCGGCGGCAGATCTCTTCTAGCATCTCTCTCCTAATCGCGTCTCGCTCGTCAGGGTGCGCAGGCAGGTGCGGGACACCGCGGCGCGCTCTTTCGGACTCCCACAAAGGCTCTCGCTCTCGTGAAGTCGTGTACGTGTTTCGTGTCTGGGAGGGGCATCATCAGCAGCAGCACAGTGGCATCAGTCAGTTACCCGGGACGCGCCACATCGTACACCGCACGTCCGGATGTGTCACAACGCCAACAGCAACACGGTCACGGACAGCGAGCGCACACACGCTAGCACACACGCGTCACACGCGACAAACGAACATGAAAACACGCCGCATCCTGACCGGCCACAGCCGGCTATGTTGAACTCACTAATGAACTGAGGGCTCGGGCCTGCGCAGCTCACGCCGCGCGGGGCGCGGCCTTCCGCCTAGACCTTCAGGCAGGCGCCAAGATCGACGCTCGACTGCATGAACTTCTCCGTCTGCTCGCCGGCGGTGGTGAAGTCATGCTTGAGCGGCTTGCAGCAGCGGCCGCCGGCGCAGTCATGCGAGCCACAGAAGAGCATCTTCAGGTTACAGTAGTTTGTCCCCGCGTCGAGGCCCGAGGGCACCTGCAGCGGCGACCGCCGGTCACGGGCGCGGCGGCGGGGTGTGGTCATGGGCGCGCAGGCGAGGCACCTGGCTGCGGCTGCAGGCCTGTATCTGGCACGAGCCACTCCCCGTCCGGGTCAACGTGAAGAGCTGCTTGTCCGTAAACTTGCCGTCGCCCGTCAGCCGCGAGGTCGAGAAGCTGCCACCGTACTTTTGGACAGCGTAGGTGCCGCGGTTGTGCGGGTCGTGCCAGGACCCGTCGGCCTGCCCGTCCACACGCGCGTGCATCTCCTCCAAAACGTCGGAGCAGGACGCCTTTGCTGTCGCAACGACCTTCATTCCGCACGCGAGACCGAAAGGCGCGGAAGTGTCGGGGCAGGCGAGGTCGATCCCGTCGACAGTCGCGTCGCGCGTCGACGCGCCAGACGGGAACCACCATGCGGAGGAGGCTGTAGCAAGCGCGAGCATTACGGCGACGATATGGAGGTGTGTGTTAGGGGTAGTAGGACTTGCTGCTGGCGCCGTTCTCTGAACTTTACTCCGAGAAAAGAAGAAAAGGAAAACTACCGGCCGCTGACCGTCGAGCTCGCGATTTAGACACGCTCAGGAAATCTCTCTCCACACAGCGACCATTCAGCACCGGCGATCGGCCACGCCCAAGGAGCAAGGTGCAAGGAAGGAGGCTGCCGCAGCGATGAAGGGACGAGTTGGAGGGAGAGGCGCGTGGTAAGTGCGAGACCGAGAGTCGAGAGGTGCAGCCACGAGGCTAGCGGGCGAGGAGTCGACATGGCAGCGCCAGCCCAACAAGAGGTCGTCTCAGCCGAGGAAGTCGTCCTTCATGAAGGCTGGGCCAGGGTAGTCGTACATGCCCTTGGCGGTGTCGGACGAGGGGTCGCCGGTCTTGATGCCAGCGCAGCCCGCCTCGAGCTTGGCGTCCAGGAAGGCGGCGTTGGCGAGCATCTGCTTGCCCGCGGCATCGTCACGCATGACCTCGCCCCAGTGCGCAAACACGTTCCGCACCGTCTCGAGGCCAATGACGTCGATGACCTGCATTGGCCCCTTGGGCGCGCCCATCGTGATCATCCACGTGCGGTCCACGTCGTGGGGTGAGGCGACACCGCTCGTCACGAGCCACAGGGCGCTGTTGAGCCATGGGACGAGCAGGGAGTTGCAGATGTACCCATTCTGCTCCTTTTCAATGCGGATAGGGACCATGTGAATGTCGCGGGCAAATTGCACGACTTGCTCAAAGACAGCCTCGTCCGTGCTGGCGTGGCCCATTACCTCTCCAATGTTGCCGTCGAAGATGGGGTTGGCGAAGTGCAGCGCGAGAAAGCGCTCCGGCCGGCCTGTCGCCGCTGCAAAATCCGACGGCAGTAGGGTGCTAGAGTTTGTGGTGAAGATGCAGTGCGACGGCGCGGCGGCGTGCAGCTCAGCGTACACCGTAGTCTTGACTGCCGGCACCTCGGGCACATTCTCGGACAGCAGATCGCTATCGCCGCACGCCTCATCGACGTCCGTGGTGTAAGAAATCCGTTGAAGGGCGGCTTGAGGGCTAAGGCTTGACTCAGCCGGCACGCGCCAGGCGCGAACCTTTTCGCCGCGCTCGACAAAGAGCCGCGCAAAGCGTTCATGCGCCTGCTTGGCGGTGGTCAGGCGCTTTTCGGTGGTGTCGAGCAGCGCAACGTCGAAGCCGCTGAGTGCGGCCTGGAAAGAGACCTGCTGTCCCAAAGTCCCGGCACCGATCACGGCGACCTTGCGGACGCGCGGGGTCGTTGTCAGGCGGCGAAGTGCCGTCCGCCTCATCCAGGTGAAACGAGAGGGGTTGGTCTTTGGCGGGTTTGAAATGCGGCGATGTTTAGAGGTTTGTTTTTTATTTTCAAACGTGTATTTCACCGGAGTCACGTTTCGACCGTGCAAGACATAATGGTGGCTAAGGGCTCTGCTCTGCCCGCAAGGCGCCCGCGTCGCAGACCGGTACTAGTAGCATAGCAGGAGAAGGATGAGAAATATGAAAAACGCTGGAATTCGGGGGAGTACTCTCGCCTGCACAAATTTGATAAGTGGGACAAGGAGGGATGCGTCCAGGTGGCACCAATCATGGATACGAAGCGACGGACCGGAGCTCCCGCCAAGGAGGAGGCCGCGAGCGGCTCTGAGGGCGTGGACGCTCTGCGCCATTGTTTGCCATTGACAATTCTGCATACCCCCACATGAGTTCGCGAAAGTTACACAGACCCCGTTGCGGCTCAAAAAGTCAGGTATTGAGTACGTCATTTTGGCGGGGTCTTCATTTTTCTGCGTTATTTTAGATGAAATTCTGATTTTGTCGTATATGGGTCCGCCTTCCTGGCTCGTGCAGGAGCGCGCGATTTATCAAAAGAGTTGGCCTTTTTGGAGCCTGGAAACTCGCCCGTACAACACTGTAGCCCGAGGCTCGAGCCCGCCCCCAGCTTTTGTCGCGAGCTCGCGACCCCACCGCAACTTCGCCGAAAGTCAGGCCAAGCCCAAGGAACGTCCCTCGTCCGCCAAATCCCTTTGGCTTTGCGCTTTGGGCGCAACTTGAGGGAAGAAAGAAGCTGCTGACTGATCGAGCCCTGCACTCGAGCCCAGCGTGCCCGCGGCTGCTTCCAGCGCAGCACCGCCGCTGGGGCAACAAAAATTAGTGCTAAAAATCTCAAACAAAACAATCTCTCTCGGCTGGGGACGACGGCACGCTGCGGAATCGGATCGAGCCCATGGAGAATAGAGAAGAAGGCGTCGGTGAATTGGGAGGGCGCAGTCGATGAATGGGAGGAGGAGGGTGCAGTCGTTGTCATTGGTCAGAGGGGTTGCCCCGGAGCCATGAAAAAAGAAAAATTGCGCGCCAGACTCTCCTCGGCGCGCTGCACCGCACCTGGCCGCGCACGCCGCGCTCGCCAGAAGAAGCGGTGGAGATATCTCCTGAGGCACGCTCGCTCGATCGGTGCTCGGTGCTCGTGGCTCGTGGCTCGTCGCTCCGGGCGCGCGCGCGCGATGGCCGCGCCGGGCTTTCCTCCCGGCTTTGGCGCTCCAGTGTCCGGGACGGGCAAAATCGCGTACCCAAAGCACTTTTGCCGCAAGACGGTCGACTACTCTGCCTGCACCGTGCGGATGCTCAAGGAGCGCACGCTCTGCCCCGAGCGCGAGGCCTCGCCGTACACGCTCGACGCATCGCCAGACGCGGCGGTCGAGATGCTCCCGCCGAACGGGACGCTCTCCAACGCGGCGGCGTCGGCGTGCACGCGGTTCGTGCACTCTGCGCTCAACAAGGACCGCTCCTCCGTCAACGCCGGCTGCTGGATGCCCGACGGGCGCAGGCTCATCACCGCGAGCTACAACGGCATGTTTACTCTCTGGTCGGGCTTCTCGTTCAACTTTGAGGCGACGCAGCAGGCGCGACGAGAAGACGCGTCGGCCGCCTCTCGGCGGTCTCTCGGCCACATCTCCCGACGGGCATCTCCCTCCACCAGGCGCACGACGAGCCCCTATTCTCGCTCTGCTGGTCGCGCGGAGGCGTGCGGCTGCAGCCAGGCGACAGGGACGCGAGATTGGGCCGAGGTGCACCCGAGATTCGCCGAGATTAGGCGAGTGGCTGCTGTCGGGTGACGGAGCAGGGACGGTCAAGTACTGGCAGACCACCCTCAACAACGTCAAGGAGGTGTCGCCGCACGCGGGCGCGGTGCGTGTCGCCTCCGACACGCTCTTGACACTTCCGACACGCCTCCGAGAGCGCGCGCCACGCAACAGCCCGCCACGCGGTCTGGACGGCCCCCCCCGTTGCTCTCGCAGGTGCGCGCCATCTCGTTTTGCCCGACCGACACTTACTTCGCGACTGGCTCAGACGACGGCACAGTCAAGGCAAGACCGCCGCCGCTGCCTCGCACCACTGCCTCGCACCGCCGCCTCGCACCGCCCCCTCGCACCGCCGCCTCGCACCGCCCCCTCGCACCACTGCCTCGCACCGCCCCCTCGCACCACTGCCTCGCACCGCTGCCTCGCACCGCCCCCTCGCACCGCCCCCTCGCACCACTGCCTCGCACCGCCACCTCGCACCCGCCACCTCGCACCGCCACTTCGCACCGCTGCCTCGCACCGCCGCCTCGCACCGCTGCCTCGCACCGCCGCCTCGCACCGCTGCCTCGCACCGCTGCCTCGCACCGCTGCCTCGCACCGCTGCCTCGCACCGCTGCCTCGCACCGCTGCCTCGCACCGCTGCCTCGCACCGCTGCCTCGCACCGCCGCCTCGCACCGGCCCGGCGCACAGTCTCGGCAGGGCGTGGGGCATACCTCCGCACGACTCGCCGGAAGGTGCTCGACTTCGAGAGGGGCACCACCGTGCGGCTGATGCCTGGCGCCGGCCTCGAGGCCTCCCAGACACTTCCGAGACACTCCCCACACCCTTCCTAGAGAGGGGCCGGCGTCGGCCTCGAGGCGCCTCGTAGCACACCGCCGCAGAAGCCGCGCACAGCCCCCGTCCAGCCGCCCTCGGTGCCTCGTCCAGGCGGGCAAGTCGCACCGGTGGGACGTCAAGCACGTCGAGTGGCACCCCGACAAGGCGATGCTCGCCTCCGCCTCCAAGGCGAGCGCTCCCCCACCCCACCCCACCCCACCCCAAGCTGCGGGGACCCTTCCCCCCACCCTTCCCGGGCCCTTCTCTGACCCCTCCCCGCACCCCCTCCCCAGGACGGCTCCTCAAAGCTGTGGGACCCGCGCGCGCCGCGCGAGGCCGCGACGCTGCACCAGCACAAGGGGCCGGTGACGCAGGTGCGGTGGCACCCCGCGGGCCGCTACCTGCTCTCCGGATCAAAGGACCAGCTGACCCGGCTCTCCGACGCGA